CTTCTAGTGTTTCAGTTTCCTCAAGAGTGGGTTTATTACGCAGATCAATGTTTCTTAGGCTTGTTGGGTGTTGCAGGCTCTGTGATTGGTGTTAACAGCACTGAGATCATCATGCAAACAACTGATTATAAAATGCCTCAGAGGGAGATGAGGCTTGGGCCCACTCTCAGTTAGAAGGAGCGCGGCCTCTCTTGCTACAGTCTACCTATTGGCTTCTTTACTTAGGAAGTCTGCCCTGACAGAGGGCAGATTATTGGCAGTGGGTTCTTTCTTTTCCAGGTGTGGAGCCAGAGCCTTTTGAAGTTGGAGACCATCTGATTGAGGCTAGTGGGAAACTTCACCTACTGGATAAGCTGCTGGCATTCCTGTATTCCAAGTAGGTGATAAGTTCACATTTTCTGCTCTGAGCTCATGACTGTTAAGACCTGAATAATGAGGGGCTTACTGATTTGTTGAGGCTGATTCCAGTTTTTCTTTTTTCAAGACCCTGATTCAGGTTCTACCTTCCCTGTGACTATACTCCTACCCCCTTCCACCCCATCCCACCTCCCCCTCTCCCCAATCATTCTTTCCTTTCCTGAATTTCCTACAACACGAAGATCCTAATCCAGCACTTGGCAGTGCACCACCTTAATCTGCAATCTGGTTAATGGTGTATGTTAACTGTATCGCTCCAACTATATTGTTTGGCTCCACAGGGATAGCAACAACACTGAACATTTTATAATTGCCTGTTGGTACCTTGTGTTGAATTAGCACCTAATAAGGACTCAGTAAACTTTCTTTTTGTTAACCTGTGGGGTTTAATTTGAACTCAAGCGGAACTCGAGGGACTCTTTACATGAGTTGGGCATTAGAAGACCAGGTTCAGTTAGTGTTTGGTGGACCTGTGTCCAGCTTCTACGTGATCTTCCAAGGCACCAGAAGGTAGGAGGAGTCTAGGAAAAGCCCAGACTCCCAAGCATTTCAGAGTTGTCCTTTTGGGATGTGTGGCCCAGATATGACCTGAACTAACCTAAAACTTCAGATTTGGCAAAATTACCCAACCTTAGGAATGTGCAAGTTAAATAATTGCATGTCTTACGATATTTTATTGGCGCTGATATATCTACCATAAGTGTGTTAGAATTGGAAAAGGACCCATAAATATTTTCTGCCCAACTTTTTCGTTTCATAGATTCAGAAAGGTTATGTGACTTGTTCAGGGTGACAAAGCCAGCAAATGGCAGAGATAAGATTAGAATTGAGGTCCTCAACTTCCAATTCAATGCTTTTTCCACCCATATGGGGCTAGAGTTTTAAGAGTTCTCCATGATTGTTCCTCTTATACTTGTTGCAAGCTCAGATTAAATTAGTTTTCATAATGAAAATACTCTTTTGACAGTATTGTGCTTCTTTGTTTATGCAAATGTAAAATAATGGCTGGTAACAAGAGGCCGTAAGCTTGACTTTGTTTTTGACTTAATGCATCATTTTGCCTCCTTCTTTCCTATCTACTCTTCCTATACATCAGTTTGTCATATATTGTGGGAGATGTCACCTGCCCCTTGCTTCCCTAAAGTGAGACTTCTCAGACTTTTGAAGCAATATAACCATAGATAAGAGGATAGTGACTTTACACCTCCACGTAGAGAATAGCTATATGTGGCTGACCACAGGCTCTTCAGGGTCTCCAGTTTCTGTGGGGTGTGTGTGTTTGAATTTTTACATTTTACTCTTAACATATCTTATTTTGCTGTTAAAATGAAAGCTTGCGTTTCTTTCCCTTGAGCAAATTGACAGTCCAGAAAGAGGCACATTGGTTATTCTAGGACTTCTTATGCCCCTTGGTGCATTGACACATGCCCCTGGGAATATCTCCACTCTAGTTTGAGAACAACTGCTCTGAAAGATACAGCCACATGTGGAGGTATATTCTTACATAAGGCATTTAGGGTGGTTTCTGAAGAAGTCTCTGTAAATTATATGACATTTATATTTCTACTTCAGTATTTCGTTTATTTATAAACTTGTATTCTTTGGTAAGTTTTGCCTGAGGGAAACTTACCTTAAATACTAGAGTTGGCAGTTTTTCCTTTTTTTTTTTTCTTGCCAGGGGCCATCGGGTTTTACTTTTCTCCCAAATGACCCAGATGTTGGATATTCTCCAAGACTACATGGATTACAGAGGTGACACCCTTGGCCACTACATTACTTAAGGCTTTTTTAGACTTAATGGTCCAGAGAGGTCCATGAAGAGTAATGCAGGGTGTAGGAATGTTATAAAGGAAAGCAATGCAAGAACATTATTCAGAACCAGAAGATGATCAAAGTGTGGAGAGTGGGGTATGAAGGCAATTATTGAGAGTAGAGAGAGGCACATGGACAGAACACCCACATTCCCATCATGTATGTCATTTAAAATTATGAGCACTGGAGCAAATGTTGTGGAAATGTTGAGTGTTTTTGAAAACGGATGATAAACAGAGTTTTGGTGACTAGAGCTCTCAGTGTCTCATAACATTCACCTCAATGATTGAGCACTTAGGATGGTTAAAAAAAGATGAATATTAAAAGAGATCCCACAAATAAACCAGAGGAAAGGTAAGATCAAATTCTTTCTATATAGACAATAGAGAATGTAGGTTAGGTTACCTCGGAACTCTGTTTAATATATAATGTGGGATGATGGGAAAAGGCTGTAACATTGGTTGATCTTGAGCCCAGAGGTGAAGAAGTATCAGCTCCAGACCCCACAATTTAAAAAGTTAGTCCAGGGTGGGTCTCTCAGATCCACTTGATGCCCCCTAAGTACCACAGTACACTGGTCCAGTGGACACTTGCAGAAATGCTGTTGGCACACTGGGGAATCCCCAGATGCACAGATGTGGCCTGAGCTTACAGCTCCGCTTCCTGACGTGGGTGCCTGGTGCCCAGCGGAAAACCCTGATGCTTCACCAAAAGACAGATCTGTGCCATCAGGCAGGCTCACTGACCTGCTCTGAGTGCTTGTCTTACTGCTCGCACAAATAGGGATCGTGTCTCAGCAAAATTAGAAACTACCACACAGTGTAGACATTTGGGACTGGTCGCGAATAGTTAAAATTGAGTCTTAACTCCATAAATGCCAAAGACATCAACTGCATGTATTTGAAAACCTCAGAGGAGTATATTATGGTGAGTTATTTTGTGAAATGATAAATTGTCCCCCTACATTTAAATTTTTCCCATGGGATTTGCTTAAAGTAGGACCATGGCTGTATATGGTTAGGGACAACATTGGCTTTTGGTTTTGGGCTGACTTAATTTTTTGTTCCCCAGAGAGCACTTGGAAAGGCTTATGATTTCTCTGTTTTCTTCCTCTGTGTAAAGGCTACAGCTATGAGCGTGTGGATGGTTCCATGAGAGGAGAAGAGAGACACTTGGCCATTAAGAACTTTGGACAGCAGCCCATTTTCATTTTCCTTCTGAGTACCAGGACAGGTAGGCCACATAGGCATTGACAAAAGCAGACACACAAGGGGCGGTGGAGTACTTCTGCGTCCCTGCCATTAGTACATTTTTCCTTAATTCTCTGAAGGGTGAAGTTATTACTAAGGAGTGTAAAACAAGAGGAATTGAGGTAGTTGGCACAATTTATCAAGGTGCTGAACTTCTAACATGGTGCTTTTTTCTATCTAACCTGTCCAAGCTATCATCTCATCAAAGAAGTAAGGCTGAAACCTGGTATCGTTTGGTAGGTAATTGTAGGTAATTCTAATCTGCTTTGCCCATTGACTTGGAAGTATCCTGAATGATTTCTGTGATTTTGTGGAAAGTTTTATTTATATTCAATGGAGGCAGTTCTCCTTCCTAACCATGAATTTGGGAAATAAAATAATAGTCTGCTACTTTCCCTTCCTTCATAAGTACCTCTGGAATAGTGTTGTCAAAGCTTAGCAAAAATCTAGTTGTTTAAAAAATGTGATTGTATTGAAACTGCCAGCTTTTTAGAATTATTTATGACATTGTCTACATATGACTTAAATCATAAATATTACATATAAAATTTGTAGTGCTTCACCAGTTACAAAGTGCTTTCATAGATGATTAATTTGAAATCAGTTCTTGGAGGTGAAGTTATTCACATGAACTAGAGCAAGCAGACCTTCCTTAAATTAGTTTTGAACACATAGAATCTTAGTTTCATTATCTTATTTTTTATAGACCTAAATCTTGATGGAGGTGGCGTGTGAACTGATGGAATACATGCAGGAACATGAAAGGGATGTACGTCCTCTACGCTAAAGACAGATCAATATTTTTATAAAAAGAATTCAGTCTTAATTAAAAAGTTTTATAAGTGCTTAGTACTAAAAGGGTATATAAAAGAAGTATGAGATATAATCCTTTCTAAGGAGATTATTTCACCTATGTATGTTGTGTCTCCCTAATGAAATTAATAATACAAGATATAATCAGATTCATTCACTCTCTTCCCAAGATCACAGACCGCACCCTGACTCTCAGCCATTTACTCATGTGATCAGTCGTCTCTGGAGGATTCTTAGGAGAAACTGGAAGGATCAGGGCAAGCACATCATCAGTGTTGGGAAAACAGTTCCATTTATGCTTCAATGATTTCGCCAATCTTCGTATTCAGAAAGCAGCAGCATGTTTGAAGTGTCTAAAATTAGAAAGAAGGACAACTCTGCTTTTCAGTTAATCTCCTTGAAGGACTCAGAGTAGCTCTTTTAGCAGCGGAAACAGTCCTGGATATCAGCCATTTCCGTGCACTGTCATATTTGCTATCACGGTCTGGCTGCAGTTTTGCAGCATTTTCATTTATTTAAATTGCCACCAGATGGCAGTGTTAGCTCATGAATATGTCCCAGACAAATATGGATATAGCTTATATATAAAAATATCACCCCTCAGTGAAGAAGAGCTGAACTCAGACATTAATTCAATAAGAAGATAATTTTTATGGAGCACATTTTTAAATGAAATAAGTGTCTGGAAGGTATTATAGTACAATGGATAAAAGAACAGACTCTGGACCCAGACCATGTGGGAAGGAATCTTGGCTCTCTCATCTTCTAGCTGTGCAACCTCAGATAAGTCCCTTAACCTCTCTGTGCTTCCATTTCAACATCTGTAAAATGGGCATAATCATAATAACTACTCATACTGTTGTGAGGGTTAAGGGAGTTGATACATGTAAAGTGCTTAGAACAATGCCTGGCAAGTAGTACGCACAGCATAAGTGTAGCTATCATTATTATTTTTAGGTATAATTTGGCACCTCTCAGCAATCAGTCGTTATTATCTCTTTGTACTGACTTTAATTTTACATGAAGGCTTTAATTAGAATATTCCTGCCTGACTTGTCTTGAGATCCAGCTTACAGTCAGTAGTCCTTCTCAAAAGTCTGTCCTTAACTCAGGCTCTTGGAACAAGCCCTTTCAGGCTGGCTTGTTTCAGCAACAAGCTCTGACGACCCTGGCCAGAGGGAGTCTGTTTTGTACTTGTTTTCACATCAGTCAAAGAGAAGGCTGCAATTTACCTTCATGGTTCTCTTAATTAATTCCTGGGACCCAGTGTACCTCCTCAGCCCTTTTCCTGAAGCACTGAAGAAAGACCAGAAAGTTGTTCCATGAAGTGTTCTTGTCTCGCCTTTGGTTTTGCTACTTTCTCTTTTGATTAATGAGGAAACAAGTACAGAAAAGACTCATGAAAGTTTTCTCCAATGGGAAGGAGGTGGTTTCCTGCTCTGCTCAGGAGTGTAATGTCATCCCCCCTTCTCAGTAACTTGTATCAGGGATCTTACTACCTAGTTGTAACTTGCAGTTGATGTAAACACTCTTTTCTTAACAGTGTCCACAGCAGACCTCTGTAATATTGAAAGCTGTTTTCTGAAAGAACATGTGGATTTTTTCCACAGACTATTCTGATCAAGGTTTTTAAGCAGAAGAGATTTAAAATACCTTCACAGCACTAACTTAATTATCCACTTTTGCCACTTACCCTTGCTCCCTTTGTTCTGTTACATTCCATAATTACGTTTTCCCAAGTCAGGCAATATGAGGTCAGGTAGCATTTCCAACTGCTGCAAAGTTCTGGAGTTGGGGATGGGGGTGTCTGTTGGAAGGGTGAAGCCAGTTGTTTTGACTATTTCAGTTTATTGATCTGACCCACTCTAGCCTTGTGTCTTTATTTTCTAGTCCTCATGTGCTTGCAATCACATTCCTTTCTGCTTTGTTTCAGGTGGAGTTGGCATGAACTTAACGGCAGCAGATACTGTGATTTTTGTCGACAGTGATTTTAATCCTCAGAATGACTTGCAAGCAGCTGCCAGGGCTCACCGAATTGGCCAGAACAAGTGAGTGATTTAGGCATCAGCATTTTTTCACTTCTTTGGCTTGCTCGGCAGTGGTTCTGGGTTCGGAAGAAGGTGAAGAATGTAGTCCTGGTGACAGCCCCAAACTGGGAGTCAAGAGACCTGTCTGTGCTGTTGACTCCTGGGAGTAGTATTGGGTGGGTCACATTATCAGTCCAGACTTACTTTTTCTTTTTCTTTTTTTTTTTGAGACAAAGTCTTGCTCTGTATCCTGGGCTACAGTGCAGTGGTATCAGCCTAGCTCACAGCAACCTTAAACTCCTGGGCTCAAGTGTGTCTCCTGCCTTAGCCTCCCAAGTAGCTGGGACTGTAGGTGTACACCACCACGCTTATCTAATTTTTCTATTTTTTGTAGACATTGGGTCTCGCTCTTGCTCAGGCTGGTCTCGAACTCCTGGCCTCAAGCAATCCTCCTGCCTTCAAGCAATCCTCCTGCCTTGTCCTCCCAAAGTGCTAGGATTACAAGTGTGAGCCACTGCGCCTGGCCAGACTTACTTTTAAAGAGCAAAATTAAATAGTGAAATAATTAGAAGGAACCATTAGAAATTAACTCATCCTTCTTGAGTTAGGGTCTAACTCAGTTAAAAATGGGGTTATGAGGCTATGGAGCTAAACTAAAAAGATAGGTGCTACTCTTTGACCTGAGGATAATTTAGTTCTACCAGAGCTGTTTTTTGGCCACAGATAAGGAATCTTGGTTATGATCACCTCATCATCCTAACTCCTTTGGAAAGGTTCAGAAAGAATTTGAGTCCAGTTCTTTCTAAGAAATGCTCAGGTCCAAATTAAACAATATCCTTTTCATTGTACCTTGAATATGGTATTTGGCTTTGTTTCCTTTTAGGTATTTCCTTTGTTTCCTTGCACGCTTTTGCCTGGCTTTGCAGACTCTTACAGCACACTGCTCTCATTTCACTGATGTACAGGTCTGTTAAGGTTATTCGGCTGATTGGCCGGGACACCGTGGAAGAAATAGTCTATAGGAGAGCAGCCTCCAAACTGCAGCTCACCAACGTGATCATAGAAGGAGGCCATTTTACTCTGGGAGCCCAGAAACCTTCAGCCGATGCTGACCTCCAGGTATAATAATATTGTTCTTCACTTTAGAATATGTCAGTGCTCTGTGAAGGAGAATGTAAATGAAAAGAAATGGAACTAACAACCCACTTTCCCCATCTACGTATTTGTACCCTGGCCTAACTCACACTTGCCCTAGGACCTACTGTGTGCAAGAATGAGTACGATCCATAAAGGCAGGAGGACGTGGACTAAGGAGGATGGGCTCTGGGCCATCTAACTTGAATTCGGATCCAAGCCTCAACATGTATTGGCTGTGTGGGTCTGAATAGACACCTTAACCTCTTTGATACACTCTCTTTACTTTTCTAAAAGTGAGGATTGCACTAGTTACTTCCAAGGGCTGTTAAGAGAATCAGTTAAAATAAAGAACTTAGCATAATCAATAACAATTCTGTGCCTCCTTCTTAATTCCAGACCCTTTGATCAGTGGCTTATGTTACTTACTTCATACTCAAAGGAGAGCAAATGAGATCAGGAATTCAAAATTATGCCATAGAAAAAATGGTTGAAAGGACTAGAGTTAATTTGCTTGAAGAAGGGACTGTTGGATGGGAGTCAGATGCTGGCTTGGAAGAGTTTAGAGAGAGCTCTCTTTTGGAAGAACTTAAAGTTATTCTATAGTGGCCCTTGGGTTAAAAGCAGAACCCATATTATATTAATAATATATCCCGGATCCTTTAGTCCTGCCCCAGGAATGCGGGGCTAGATGCAGAGAGACCAACTCCTCAGATACTGGAAAGACTCACGCATGAAGAGAGTAAAAGATGTCTGCCAAGGGCAGTGGCAGGAGGAGGGTCTGGTGTGAGAAACATTGCAAAAGGCGATGTGACGGGTTGGTCGCTGTTTAGAAGGAGGGCGTTAGGAGAGAGAAAATTCAAAGATGGCTGCAAGGTTTTAAGCCTGGATATGAGGAGAATAGAAATTAGGAAGTTAGGAGGCAGGGCAGAGTTTTAGGAAGATAAAGATAATTTAGGCTTTAGTCAACAGGGTTTGCAGTAAAAGTACAATATAACATACATTATTGTTAGAGGAAGACTCAGAAAAAAGAATTTCGTTTGCAGAAGTTTGTAAGAAGAGACTAGGCTTTAAGGGGGCTAGTTTATCAAATAAAAAATATAACAAATATTTAAAATGGAAAAAATTACACAGTTCATTAACACAAGCAGAGTTACCAAGTTTATAATTAGTCTGAGCATGGGTTGAAAAGAGCAATTTTCTCATATGGTTATCATATGCACAAAGGCCAATGCTTATCTTTATGTATCAGCATTTTTGTTAGGAAGTCAGTGACTTATAGGAAAGGCTCAAGATTTCATATATTTGGGACTAGAACCAGAAAGAGTAATGCTGGGTTTTATTTGTTTGGTTTTTGTTTATCTTAGGGTCTTAGGTGGCTAAGTGTGGTTTCTTTTTTTTTTCTTTTTTTCTGTTTTTTTCTTTTGTTGCCGACTCTGATGTACGTGCTTAACCATAATGGTGGTAGGGCAGGCTATACGTTTTGAGGCAATTACAAATGTAAGATAAAAGCTTGAGAAGAGAGGTAGGAGAATACTGTAGATACTCTTAAATACAATTCTCATAGAATAGTTCCACATAGAGCCTTGAGAGAGAGACAAATTCACCATTGGGCATGGTGAAGGGGTAAATGACAGAGCCTCGGAAAGCCCACATTCTGGGCATCAGAGGAGGAAGAATTGTCAGTAAGATGCTTGAACTCTCTTCCAGTGGAGGGAGCTCAGTCAGGGTTATCCCTGGGCTGTGGGATGCTGGGCACATCACTGCGAATCCTGTAGACGTACCTCTGTGCCATGGGGCCAAATACTAGTGGGAACACGGACTCCTGGCTTTTTGAGGGTCTCTGTCGGACCTCTTGCCCAGATCATGGTTGTTGGAAAGTTACGTTCTGACTCTAATGTCTGATTTATCTCTTCCCTATCCAGACTATGAGTTCTTGTGGTTGCCAAAAGCAAAGGTCATAACCCAGTGCCTTTGTCTCAAAGCAAGGGACTTTTTTTAAATGCCAAAAAATCAATAGTAAAAGATGTGATTCTGGTTTGGTAAATTTAAGCAGTATGGAGTTCTGAAGTCCTGCAAGAGGGAAGCAGGTTTATTTTGCTGCGGAGAACACAGTAGAAACAGAGAAAGTCAGATACAGATACAGTGAACATTTATTAAATGCCTACTGTGTGCTAAGTATGGTCTTAGGTGCACTTTTCCGGTTTTCAGTGAATAAGAATAACAACAGAATGAGATAGGTACTATCTTTATTCCAATCTTAGGTAATTTGCTCAGGGTCATTCAGATTTAGGACTCCAATCCAAGCATTCTCTAACCTCCAAGCACATGCTGTTAATTACTGTAAAATATTGCTCCTCATAAAAACACATGTAGTTCCCTGAAGACTAAGACACATCGTAAGTGAGCAATAACTAGGGAAAGCCAGGTGGCAAGCGTAAATACACAAGGGTTTAGGGGAGGGTCCCAGTATGTACTAATTCTCATCATAAATAGTTGGCTTTCTTCTATTTTTGGTACCAGCTGCCAAAGCCAGTTATCTTGTTTATGTACGCCAAGGTTAAATATAAATGTATCCAGGCGTGTTCATGCACAGGTGGGCTATCTAACTTTTTTCCAAGCTATTACAGAATACCTGAAGATTTCCAAGATACTCAGAAAATAGATGATCTAGACATAATTCACCCACTCTGAAAGGGGAAGATGTAAACAAGGGCCCAAGGTGTGACTCCAGCTTGGTTCAGGATCTTGGAGTTAGGGCTTAGGTAGGTATAAAGTTGGAAGTAACAAGTGAAATCCAGGAAAAATCATCTAAGCTTTCTGGGTGGTTCCCGCAGCCACAGGGAATAGGCTGAGGGTACCCTGGAGAGGGATAAGGGAAGAGAAGCAGGATAATGCAGTACCAGAGGTACATCTAGGAAGATTCAGATTGAGAAATGGCCTTCACCTGGGCCTCGTGATCAGGAGTGGTTGCTGGTCTTTGCCAAGGCGGTTTCCGTAGAGCACTGTGATGGGAAAATAAATTGCCAAAGGAAAGGAATCAGTTTATGATAGATATAAAGTGCCCAGTATAGCCTTCTCTTCCTGAGATGTTGGCAGTGGAAAGGCAGGAAAGTAGCTAACAGGGCCTCTGACTTGTCATGTTGTTGCTTGGAATGCCTGTGAATGCCAGTGAGAGATGCTGTAGAAAATGCAGGAAATTAAGGTTATTCTTCAAAAAAAATGGAGGCTTATCGAATTTTTTGTTGTTATGGAGAGTTATCAAAGTCAACAGCTGTGATCATCATTTATCACCTCTCTATTTATCCATCATCAAACTAACTGTTAAACAGCCCTGGTTGGTGTCATCTATGACGGGGCGAGAAGAAAGCCTGTCTGTCCATCAGGGAAGGAATATGCCTGGTGCTGTTAAGCCATTTAGCAGATCTCCAATATCCTGATGTTTGTTTTCATGAGAACTAACTGGACTTTTTTTGTTTTCTGCATTCAAGTTGAGTGAGGTACTCAAATTTGGTTTGGATAAACTACTGTCCTCTGAGGGGAGCACCATGGATGAAATAGACCTGGAGTCCATCCTGGGGGGAACAAAAGATGGCCAGTGGATCTCGGATGCCTTGCCTGCAGCAGAAGGAGGGAGCAGAGAGCAAGAGGAAGGAAGTGAGTTGGGAGTCAGAGCAGAGCAAATGGCACAGCCACTCCAAACTGGAACACGGGTGCGCTGAGCCCATGGAAGGGCCTGGATGCTGCTTCCTGGGACATCTTTTTCCTACCCAGCCCTATTGTCATCTTGGGCCCACTGATTAAGACTTGCTGGGTCCAAGAACTCTTCCCAGCCTAACTGGAAATTTGTCTGGCTATTTACTTGTAGCTGAACTTTGAACCAAAATCATATTAATAGTTGTGGTAGCATCAATCTCAAGGATTTGAATTTGTACCTTTCCTCCCTTGGTTGTAAGTATCTTCTCCTTTGTTTCTTAGTAAAGCCTACTGTCCTAAGTATGGTGCTCTGCACACAGTGATTCCGCTTCTCAGCAGAGAATGATTTGTTTTTTAAATCACAGCTAACGTTGATTGAGCATTTACTGTGTGCTCATCAACAGTGTGGACTGTGTCGTGTGCCTGGTTATTTTTTTTCTGAATGTGATCAACATTTGTCTTTTTGTTCCTTTCTATCCTGAATATTTCAATTTATGTTGAAATGACTTTATTTTCCTGAACCAGCTGTAGCAGGGATTCCCTGTGGACTGGGATGAGAGGTTTAGGAATCTTAATAAGCTTCTTAATTCCGAGAGTACCTTCTTTCGTTGATACAGAAAAGGCAGTTTCTTTGCTAAATGGTGCTTTCTTTTTTTGGTGGGGAATGGGGTTGGCATGATTTCTGGTTTTGTGATTCTCTTTTGTTTCTATAGGAATGTGAATTTCCATCACTTGCTTCCTTCTTTCCCTTTGCCACAGAGCTGTCAAGGGATGTGTCCCTCTTCTGAGGTGTCTCTCCCCCAAGAGCAGTACCCTCCCAACTCCTGGCTGCATGTGTTTCCCAGTCCCTTCCTTTCACTTCCTGAGTAGCCACTGCTCTGATCCACCAAGTCTAAGACCTGTCCTCATTGTTTTCTCATTTGGGGTGTGAGCCCCTTTTGGGGGGGGGTAAAAAAATTTGATCTGCCTGGCACTGCTAGAACCCTGCTGCCCTTGCTGCTTTCTGCACAGTCTCTGCCTGACTCTCTAGTGTGAGCTTTGGAGCTGCCTTAGCTGGTTTGGGATGTTCATTTCTCTACTCATGTACAAATTGAAGTTTATAGTATTTTCTGACTCCTAATTTTGTAGTAGGCATGGATTCAGGGTGGTTTCGTAATCCTTGTTGGTCATATGGTTTTTATAGGATATGTGGAGAAATTGGAATTTAGGCAGCTGGCATTATTTTACAAGATACTGCTCTTTGACTTTTCTCCTATTTTATCTTTAATTCTTTATAATAGTATTTGTTTACATTCTTCAAGAACTGTTTCTTGTTCCCTGCTTGTTATTTTAATTGTATCCTGTTCTCATTTCAAGGACAAAATATCCTCTCTGGGGACATTTATTATAGCTTTTTAAAATGTATTCCAGGCAGGATATTTACTGTATCTTTTTTAAAAATGTTCCTCTGCCCACTACGTTGTCGCTCTTTTCTTTAGTTGCTTCTCCTTCTCCCTCTCTAAAAACAAAAAAATTATTTATCTTTTTGGAGACAGTCTCACTCTGTCACCCAGGCAAGGGCGCAGTGGCATAATCATAGTTCACTGCAACCTCAGACTCTTGCGGTCAAGTGATCTTCCTGCCTCAGCCTCCTGAGTAGCTGAGACTATAGATGAGCGCCACCATGCCTGGCTGATTTTTCTATTTTTTGTAGAGATGGGTTCTTACTCTTGCTCAGGCTGGTCTCAAACTCCTGGCCTCAAGCAATTCTCCCACCTAGGCTTCCTGAAGTGTTAGGATTACAGGCATGAGCCACCACGCCTAGCCCTTAATTTTTTTTTAATTGACAGATAAAATTGTATTTGTTGTGTACAACATGATGCCTTGAAGCACATACATTTTGTGGAATGGTTAAATCTCGCTAATGAAATATACATCGCCTCACATGGTTATCATCTTTGTGGTGAGAACACTTAGCATTCATTCTCCTAGCATTTCTCAGGAATACAATATATCATTAACTATAGTCAACCATGGTTCCTGTTCTTTTTTTTTTTTTTTTTTTTTTTAAGACTAGTCAAGTGCAGTAGGTTCCTGTTCTTTTTAAATTTCTTTTGGGATCTCTTATTCCTATTGGTAGTTTTCCTTAACCATCTGGTGTCCCCTGGCTGTCTGAGCACATGTGCCAGGGAAGTGCCACAAAGCTGATGGCAGATTTGGCATGCACAGGTGCATGGACTCTCAGGCCTTACCCCAGCATTACTGGCTGAGCTAGCCAGCTTTCACATAGAGGGAGCCTCCCCTGATGTCTGTAGTTGAAGTTTTTTCACTGGGCAACTCACTTTCTCCAGAGACAGATCCTCTAATGTTTTCTTTTGAAGACGTGAGGATGGAGTAAACCTGGTCGCTCAAATTGAAGATACAGTGTGAGTCAAGGGCTCATGGCCTGCCAGTGACTTGGTGTGCAGGTCTTCTCTCAGTTCCCCACCTTGCCGTACCCTGTACTTGTAAATCCAAGGCTCTTGGAGGATTGAGAGGGTCTCTGGTCTCATAATTACCCCCTGGCTGGACACCTGTGTTTTGCTTCCATGGCTCTTCTTAGTCTGTTACTATCCCTGCAGCCACTTTCCATTTTCCAAAGGGTTCCTGAACTTTTCATCCACCATTTTCTCATATATCTTTTCTTTTCTTTTCTTTTTTTATTTCAGCATATTATGGGGGTACAGATGTTTAGGTTACATATGTTGCCCTTGCCCCCCCCCCCACTAAGCCCGAGTTTCAAATATGGCCATCCTTTGGGTGGTGCGCATTGCACTCTTTGTGTATGCAAATACCCGTCCCCTCCTCCCTCCTCCCTCTTCCCCCCTCCGCCCTGCCCTCATATATCTTTTCTTAAATTCCTTTACTGTCATTTGGTGGTTTCAGGTGAGAAAATAAATAGATGCTTATGGTAATGTTTAAGTTATGTATTGATTATATTAAATATCAAAGCTTACATCTAATTCTGCATGTACCTAGATTAATTTTCCTAACATTTACTTATTTTCCTAATGTTTCCTAGAACAAAATAAAATTGCACTGTTTTCCAGAAAGGTATTTAATATATTTCTCAGTCAATCCAACTACTAAAAAAATCATACTTTTTCAGACAGTCCAAGTGCCAGAAAAAAATCCCCCAGTTGTATTAAAATTTGGAATTTTCTCTTGGTTAATGGCTATAGGTTTGCTCTATGGTAAATGGTTCCCCTTAATAGAACAGAGTTGAGAGTCTAGGCCTATGGTCTCCAATATCCTCTTGGCTGTAGAGTGAAGATGGGGAGCATGATTAAAAATAATATGAAAGACTGGTAATTAAAGCAGCCCCATCAAAATTAAATAAAAAAACAGTGTTGCTTTATCTTGAATGCCAGGGTTTTTTAAAAAGCATGTTTGGAAGTTGTAAATTGCATGCAGTATGAAGCTACATGTGTTGATCATATTTGACACTTCTCAGCTCTTTATTTTTTTCCACTTGTTGATATAGTGCCCTATTGAAAGCCCCCTGCTGATTTAATTAGCAAATGCCAATTAGAATTACAGCTGGTTAGATTTGGGTACAAGTGTGAAGCAATTGATCTCTTGAGAATGAAAATGTTTTGCTTTCATACTCTCTAGGGAAAACATAGCTGATTTCATAATGCTGTGAAAATACATTATTTGGTAACGTGCTATTACATATGCTTCACTTCATTATCTTACCTGTCTGTGATTGATAGTCTTATCTGGTCATGACTTCTGTTTATCACTTGATTCATAATCATGGCAGATCACCCAACCTCACTGAGCCGTTATGTCCTCATCTATAAAATCGTGCTACTTTCTACTTGACTCTTTTACACAGTTGCAAAAATGAAATGTCATAATAGATGTGAAAGTGCTCTGATAATATAAAGTGGTATTCAGGATCACACTATTGTCCTTATTGTTATTACTATAATTATTTGCTAGCCTGATATCTCTCCACCCCTCTGTAGATACACTAATATACTTGAAAGAGCACCCTGGCCTTCGAGTCAGAAAATCCTGCCTTTCTTTATTACCAGTGAGAATTGGGATGTCCCTTAATCCTTGTCTGAGCCTTGGTTTCCCCTTTCATAAGTGGGGTTAGTTATACCAGGATTGTTGTGAGGATCATTAATATGCTTCATGAGAACTGTAAAGGATGTTGTAAATCCCAGGGATTATTTTTGTGGTTCTTCATTTTCTCATAGATTTGCAACTTGTTCCTTTTAATATAAGAGTTGAGTCTTCAAAGTGTGTTTGGAATAAAAAATTATAGATTTTATTAGGTGATCTTAATGTCCTTGAGATTTGTGCTGAGGAAAAGTTGGGACTGAATGAACAATGAACAATCCAAGATAGCAGGGTGGAGGGACCCAGCTGAGACTCACGGATCATCTAGGGATAGACCAGAAGGGTTTCAAGCCATGCTGTCTACTTTGTGAAGTAAATATATGGGATCTCCGTGTAGAGCCTAAACACTTCAGTGTCAGTGGGCTGGGAAGTGAAATGCCTTCATCACAAGCTGGTTTTAGCCCATTTAGAGTACAGGCAGTTGTTCTCTTGTTCACCCTAGTTAGTGCTTTGAATAGCATTAATCCATTTTTTTAGTGTTTGAATTTCTTTGTGTTTTATGTTTCTAGAAAACCATATGTACTTATTTGAAGGTAAAGATTATTCTAAAGAGCCTAGTAAGGAAGACAGAAAATCATTTGAACAACTGGTGAATCTTCAGAAAACCCTTTTGGAGAAAACTAGTCAAGTGGGCCGGTCACTCCGAAAGAAAGGCAGTGTAAGAACTATTAATTTATGTAAAAGAATAAATTCTTACAAACTGTCATCCTAAGAAAACAAAAAATGATGCTAAAACTATTTGGCTCTCTTAGGATGATTCGTTAAGAAATAAGTATTGGAAGTGTTTGTTGAAATGTTAGTATAGTTAACTGTATCATAATATAAAAACTATGTAAAAAGTTGGCATAAAAAACATTAACAAGGAGAGTATATTGTACGATTTAATGCAGGTGAAAGCAGCCCTGTCCATCTAAGCCACCCCTAAAGGGATCATTGTGTTATACCAAATACCATAATACCATGTGCTGCTGTTGATAATTGTGACTCTGTGTCATTAAGAGAAGATGGCAGTCATAAATAATGTATGTAATGTTCAGTGTTTGGCACTTAATATGTGCTAATTAAATAATAGTTATTAAGATAGTCATGATGTTGAAATATTCTGTTTTAATAAGATTTATACAATACATTGCAGAAAGATTTCCATTAAAAATGGTTAAAGTTAAAATGGCATCCTGCAGGGTATGCTTTCAGTCAAGGAGAAAAAGGTACTTTTCTGAAGTACCTTATTCCTAATGAAATGAATCAAAATGATTGTGCCAACCATGTCAGCCGTGCTTCGGTTGAGTTTTGAGCGTGCTGTCCTGGTCACCATGCCTGTGAGATGTGTGACATGGATAGCAAATGGAATATTCAGCATGGTGCTTGTGTACAGAGTGCGCTTTAGGGATGCTGAAACTTAAGGAGGAACAGGAGCTCCTGCCCTTCCCGGTGATGGATCTTGTTCTTCCTGCAGGTTCTTATCCCAGGCCTAGGGGAGGGGTCTACTAAAAGGAAGCATATTCTGAGCCCAGAAGAGCTGGAGGACAGACGCAAGAAAAGACAAGAAGCAGCAGCCAAGAGAAAGAGACTAATAGAGGAGAAGAAGAGGGAAAAGGAAGAAGCCGAACATAAGAAAAAGTATGTCTGTACCATTAACCAAGCCGAGGGTCACAGTTGGTAAAGGAGTCTCCGTTATATAGAGAGACCACAGTTGAATGTCACTTTACAAATACAGAAAATTTCTATAAGGTTGATCATTCCTATTGCTAACAGAATACTTTTTTAAAGATTAAATTTTAACGTTAATATTTACTCTATGTAAGTGAAAGGCCCTGAGTACCTTAAGGCAGAGAAGATGCATTCTGTGAAACCAGAAAAGTTTAAGACTTTTTGTAGCTGTCTGACAAAGAGTAGTTTCCTTGAACGATCCTTTTTAGTCATGTTCTTAAAAACAGGAACCTTCGGTTTATGCTCATTGTTGTGTTGTAGTCAGGAGGCAGTTAGGCTAATCAGTGAGACCTGTTCATTTATAAATAAGCAGAGAACTTCAATCAGGGTGAGTTTCTAATTGCATTTCCACTTGGCAATTACTGTTTGTGAGCAGCAGTACAAAATGTGCTTCAAGGGAAATTGTGATAGGCCAGGTTCATTTCCTTTTCTCCCTGGCCTGCTGCAGGATGGCCTGGTGGGAGGCCAACAATTACCAGTCCTTCTGCCTGCCCTCCGAGGACAGTGAGCCAGAGGACCTTGAGGATGGGGAAGATGAGAGCTCTAACGAGCTGGATTATGGAGACCCAGACTCAACCTCGGTCAAGTACGTCAGTGGTGATGTCACCCACCCTCAGACGGGGGCCGAGGACGCTGTCATCGTGCACTGCGTAGGTACGAGAAGTGGTACAGTGGGGGTGGGTGCCTCAGTCTCCTGGTGTCAAGAATGGGGGAGGATGAGGCAGAACCCTGACCGAGGGTGTGACAGTCCCAGTGCCGTATTGTGTGGCGGTCCAAAAAGCCTGAGGTTTAGAATCAGGAGACATGAGTTTGACTCTTGGCGCCAGAGTCAAATTCATTTTGCCTGGTCATGTTACCCAGAGTCCCTGAGCTTCAAGCTCTTTATCCATATAAATGGGATAATACCTGCCTTATCCTCTGTACAAGGCTTTTAAGCTAGTGAAATGAGGCAACATTTATAAGACAAATGAATCCCTTGAGAAAAAGCAAAATTTCAGGCTTGTTCCCCCTTATGACTCTTGCACTTCTTACTTCCCCAAATAGCCACATCAAGCCATGTTCAAATGTCTGCTTCTCAGAGAGGTCTTCTCTGATCACCTCATATAAAACAGACCCCATCCCTACCTCTGTTACTCTCTTTCTCTCATCTTCCTTTATTATGCCTGTCCCACCTGACGTATTACATACGTACTCATTTATCCGACTGCTTATTGCATTAGGAAGTAAGCTTCATGGAAGCAGGGGTTTTTTTGGTCCACCGTGATGACCCTGGTGCCTAAAACAAGGCTTGACATGTAATGCAACTGTCAGATGTTTAGTGTGAATGAGTGAATGACTGTAAAGATGAGGTGATAACCAGCAGCGTCAGTTCCAGCTTGACTAAGTCCTTTCACCTTTCCTCTTGCTCATCCACGAAACGGGGATTCTGCACTGGTGCGTTGCCAGTGCGTCAGCTCACCCTGCGTTACAGTCCTCTCCTCGCCATCCTTCCTGTCATCTTCCAGGAATCACAGATGTACCACAGAGATTCTGCTCACTCAGAACACTAATTTTTGAGGTGCTTTCCTGTTATGATGGCCAGGTTTATCTTCCAGAAAACCTAAACATATTTGGGAGGTCCAACCTGTGGTATTCCCAGGTATTCTTTCTTCCCTTTGAAAAATCATTCTCCCACAAGCCATTACGTGTGCCTTTGTTTTTCTAAATTGTGGATTAGACTTTACCTCCTATATTTGAAAATTTTCTCTTTCTTCCATCAGATGATTCTGGCCGCTGGGGCAGAGGTGGTTTATTCACAGCTCTGGAAACACGATCAGCTGAGCCAAGAAAAATATATGAGCTGGCTGGGAAAATGAAAGGTAAGCAGCAAAGTAGAGGGAAGGGTTAGGCATGGAATGAGACAGGAGAGGACACTTAAGACAGTGTCGTGGGGCTGACAAAGCACTAGATAAGGAGTCAGAAGAACTGGTGGAGATCATGGCAAGAGGGTCCCTGATGGTCTCACTCTTTTTGGTATTGCCACAGCACCAACTGTTCCCAGTCTGTGGGTATTGAGGGACCCAGGCAGGCACCCAGTTCCTGTGTTTGGAGGGTGGTATGTAGGCCAGGCAGGCAGCCTAGAGGGTTAAGGCAGAGGAATAGAGAAGAGTTAGGTTTCAAAAGGAGCCTTAGGCAACATCATAGAAGACTATATGTGGCTTGTCCAGGGAGATGCCATTCTAAACACAACCTTACCCAGTGGGTAATGGCGAGTTATTTGGCAGATTTGATCAAAAGTGTGTCATAGCACAACCAGTATTTTAGAATGACTTAAAAGATTGGAGGGTGCAGGACATCCATCATTTTTCTTTGAATGAAAAGTTCAAACTGATATCAACCTAAATAACAGATGGAGAGGCTCTCAAAGAAAACGATTTTGTTAGGAATGGGCATTGAAATGGCAATGCCTGTGCCGTAGTAAACTATGTGTATTCAGGGAGGTAAAGGAAGACAAAGGTTTTGAAAGGAAAACTGAGGAGGATTACATAATTTTCAAGATAATAATCCTTGGCTACAAGGATCAGTAACAAGGGTGGTGCCAGTCTGAGGTCAGACAGGCAATTGCTGGCGCATGTTCTCGTTTTCAGGCGGTTGTGCATGAGAACCCTCTCTTCATGGCCTTCCTCAGCTCTGTTTGCCAGGGTTTTTAACACAAGTGATTCCATTATGATTCTGACAACTTTCATGCTGGGTCATGTAAAGCCATAGAATTAGCACATTCGCGTAAACTGTCAGTGTTATTTGATTTGGATGGGGTAGGAAGATACACAAAGGGACATAGAGTAGAACGCAATGTTTATTCGAATGGTTTAAGATGAGCAGACTCCCAGAGTAGTTTCAAGCTCAGTGCTCCTTCCCCCAGATACCTCTGTAACATTTGAGGAGCACTGAATTAGATGATGAAAGTTTGGGAGTGAATCTGGCTGAGGTGTTGACTGAGGCCAGGAGAGTGAGAAAAGATACGAAGGATTCTGAAGGACGGCAGGGTTTGAAACCCAGCTGGATTTGGAAAAGGGAACGTATGAGGAGAACTCAGAATAGCCTTTCAGTAGTCTCAGTCCTCAGTGAACTTAATGTTCTTTCTGTTGCTTTTTAAAATTTTACCTCAGACTTGAGTTTAGGAGGTGTCCTTTTATTTCCTATTGATGATAAAGAGTCAAGAAATCAAGGACAAGATTTGGTAAGTGAAAAAAAGAAAAACCCACATCTCTTAACAGAACTAAAATTCAGCTCACATCAATCTCTCTTAAACCTTTCCTACCCACACTGGCCTTCTAGTAGTGTACACATTTGCTAGGGCTGCCCCAACACAGTACCACAGACTGGGCAGCTTAAACAGAAACTTACTTCCGCACAGTTCTGGAGGCTGGAAGTCCAAGATCAAGGTGTCAGCAGGTTTGGTTTCTCTCTGGCCTGTCTCGTTGGCTTGCAGATGGCTGTCTCGCTGCGCATGTGCCTGCCTGTTGTCTGTGTCTCCAAGCTTCCTCTTCTTATAAGGACACCAGTCAGATTGGATTAGGCCCCACCCTAAAAGTCTCCGTTTAACTTCATCATCTCTTTAAAAACCCTGTCTCCAAATACAGTCACATTCTGAGATACTGGGGTTAGGGCTTCAGCACATGGATTTTGGGGGGACACAGTTGAGCTGCTGACAAACAGGGTGGGCACACCCTCCCCTGGCCTCCGGCTTCCCGTCCGTCAGTCCCTGCAGCACTGTCCTTGGCCTTCTTCCTCCACTGGCCTAAACAGCAGCCCCTCCTAAGTACGGGGACTCCTGTTCATCTTTTCATCCTCAGTACCCCACGTATCCTCACAGGAGATGCTTCATAAACGTTTACTGAATCAGTAAGAAAATGGGACTCAAAACTCTGAGGGTTTTGTCATTAATTACATGAAAATTTCTATGTAAGTGTGTTTTCTAGACAGCTGTAAGCAAAGGAGAGGAACCAATCCATATTTCTTATGCCCACATCAAAATCCTTTTGCATCTGAGGTATCTCCACTTGCCTGTCGTTTGAAATACCTGTGTTGAGTTTTCTTTGCCACACTTACCCAGCTTTCTCCGAGGCCTGGATTTATATTCAGATTTTGAGCCAAATCTGACTGACTTAGAAAAGAAGAAATTTAGAAACTAGGCTGACAGAGAGGCTCCTTCTCTTGAGGTTGGTGGTCTATGTGGCTAATAACAAAGTGGTTGGTTTGTTTACTCATTCCTTCAGTAGTTTCTAGAATGCTAAAAAAGGAGAGTGACAGTATATGTGTATAAGAAACTTAGAGTCCAGTGACTCTAGAAAATTGTTTACAGTGAGTAGAGCACCACGTCTGTAGTCCCTGAAGCTCCCTGGACACTCCCTGGCTCTACTCCACTTAGGTTAGGGTGAGGCAGGAGAAGCCAGGCATTTTGTCCTCCCGGGAATTGTTTGAACAGAGATGGAATGATTCCTCCTGGGCATTGTGGAGCCGACTCGAGCATCAGTTAGAGGCCTGGAATACAAGAACCTCAAATTCTTTCTACGCCTATGATTCTGAAAAATTCCTTCTTTACCCTTGAGAGCATGTAGAAAGCAAATGTTTTGGACTCTGATTTTAACATATCCTAAAAAAAGGAAGAAAAGCCTATATAAATTTACTACAAAATAAGAGAAATTTGATGGGGCGTGACATCTACGTTTAGTAGGGCATTGCTGTTCAGGCAGTGCATCCAAAAGGATGGAGCCAAAGCCCGAGTGACCCACAGAGGGGTCAGTCCCCTCTGCAGGCAGGTCACTCAGTTGACAGTGTGGTGTTTCCTGTCACGTGAGTCATTTAATGGCTGTTCTTCCTAGTTGGCCTTGATTGTGGCTCAGCACCGTGATCGCTCCAATGTCCTGTCTGGCATTAAGATGGCAGCCCTAGAAGAGGGCCTGAAGAAGATATTTTTAGCAGCAAAGAAAAGGAAAGGTAAGCTCTTCCATCTGTGCTCAGGAGTAGATAAATTTTTGTTTCTAGGTACCTGGTATGACTTTTGCAGGGAGGTGAGAAATGTCAAGGCCCCATTCAATATGCATGGTACAGGCAAACCACACGCGTGATAACTACATCATCGTGTATTCATATAGCCTTTTCCTTTCCGAACACTCCTTATCCATTATCTCCATGGACCTTTCTCCATCCACTTGGTGTTTTTATCATGGTTTTACAGGTGAGGAAGCTCCACAATAACAGACAGTTCTCTGCCAAAAAAAGTTAAATTTTGATCCAAACCTGGTGTGTCTCAGAGTTTATTGAATTGAATGGCTTGTAGAGAATCTCTGCTTATTTTGACTCCACCAATCATATTCTATTTCCATTGTAGCTACTTATTTCTAGAGCCTGTGGGTCCTTGTGCTCAAGAGAATAATTCAATTTTTCCTTATTACAGTCCCTCCTCAGAATATTTCTGACACTGTAATTGTATGCTTTGAGTGGGACAGTCAGTTATTTTCTCTGGTGTATACTTTATACTCAGTCAGTTTTCGATGAGTAAAGACATCATGATCTATTCTTTTTAATAGCAAGTGTTCATCTTCCACGCATCGGACACTCCACCAAAGGTTTTAACTGGTATGGTACGGAGCGACTTATTCGCAAACATTTGGCTGCAAGAGGCATCCCAACTTACGTGTATCCTTTTGTGGTCTTAATAATGTGTTCTCCCAACTCCAGAGGGAAAATGTGTTGCATTTTCTGGTGCCACTGCCGAGTCTTCTCCTGCCACATTCTTCACTCTGCCTTTCCTTCAATGAGACGAGAACTAAAGTATTTACAACTTGTATATGTCCAACATATACAGCCAAGTAGATAAATACACCCAAGTGTTTCTGGATGCCAACAGATAGATCGAAAGATATGAAGGGGAGAATTAATTGAACATTTGCCATTTGGTAACATATTGAATCTTTTCCACATCACTACTCTAGAGATCCTTCAGATCTGTGGACCAAGGCCTAATTCTGAGAACTTCGCTCTGTTAACTAAAATAAATAAATAAACAGTGAACTATTTTATTTCTGAACCTTTTTTTTTTTTTTTCAGTTCTTAGTTCATAAGTTTATTATGAAAAACACTGCAGTTCTCTTAGGCAGTAACATCATCCTACAGAAGGGGGAAAAACAGTTCTGTTCAAAACAACTCACTAGGTTTTGACAATAACAAAGAACAACATGGGGCTGAGATTTGAGAAGGGAATAAACTGAGTGCAGATAAATCATATAACTAAATTAAACAGTATCCCTGAAAATAAACAAAACTATTTCAAAACTCATAAGTAGAGGGGAGGCATTGGTACTTACTTTAAAAATGTTCATTAAACTCCAGTGATTGTTTGCTGCTATCCTTATCTACAGTCATGCTGAGTAATGCTATAGCTAAATGGAAGTTAAATTGTATTCAAGAGGTGTTAATGTTTACATCTTATTTGCAATCTCTCAGAGAAAGCAAAAGTTAAGTACAAGTAGCGCTATGCCAGAAACTGGTTTCTTGACCAACAATGTCGCTTCAGCAGGCAATGAACTGGTTCATTCTAAAGTTGTCAGGGCTGTTGATGACAAGAGGCTTTGTATTTTTATATGGCACATCTTTTGGTCTGTGTGAAAAATTTTTTGAATGTTTACTATTTTCTGACACTTTAGAGTTAGTGTTGCTCTTCCCATTTCCATTAGGTCAATATATGGTTCATGGCAATACTGTACAAGTTTAAATTTTCATTACAGGAAGTAGTCTGGAGCACAAACAGCTGCATGTGGCTTGCCTCTACGGGGTGCTGGGTCAAACTGCAAGAAAGAGTATTTTAGAGTATCATCAAGTTCCATGATTGCAGCTTGGTTACCACAACTATAGCAATAGTTTGGAGCACTCAAAATTGTTACTACATTCCGATCATGGCACCAGTTATATCCCTCCATGACCAACTAGGGAGCTCTAGACACCAATGTGAGGCCATTGGTATGATTAAATGTCTCAGAAATATCTTGTCCAAAGGTGTAACCAGCTCCTCGAGGAGATATACCCCAACCACCACGGTCATCTGGATCTGACCACAGCAAGTCACACATTGGACCCTCATGGGGGACTTCTTGTAGGCGATCAAGTGCTCTGATGTGATCCAGTGTATCTATGGACAGAGGCACCATGTAGACAGAAGATCTGCCCATCCACCAAGGCAGTGAGAGAAAGATAGTCAAAAATATCTGTAAAATATTTCCAAACGTCTGCATTTCCATATTTTCTTAAACACTCATCATAGAAACCATGAACTTGTGTGATCTGTTTGCTCTCATGATTCCCTCAAAGAATGGTAATGCGTTCACGGTAATGAACCTTAAGAGCTACAAGCAGTGTAACTGTTTCAACTGAATAATATCCTCTGTCAACATAATCTCCCATAGACAAGTAATTTGTATCTGCGATTTGCCAGCAATTCTAAACAGTTCCAGGAGATCATGAAATTGCCAGTGCACATCTCCACAGACAGTGACTGGACATCGAACCTCCTGCACGTTGGCTTCTTTTGTCAGGATTTCTTTAGCCTTCTTGCAGAGGCTCTTGACCTGGGACTCGTTCAGCTGCTTGATCCACTGGTCCAGCTCTTTGGTGAACACCTTCTCGTCCATGATGCCACTCGCCCAAACCGGCTGCCGCTCCTCGTGCCGCCACCAGCACAGGGGCCGCACGCACACACAGCCACCGGCTCCCGGGGGACTTCTGTGGCCACCTGCAGTTGCTCGGCGCTGGCCCGCTGGCTCCGCATGCAGTTCTCGGCTGCCAGCCACTGCGCCGCCTCTGCTCGCCCTAGCTCCTGAGTGCAGCTCTCTGAACCTTTTGATATACTCTTAAAAGTCAATATGAAATTCATTTCAACCATTAAGTCATGATTTCCTTTCACTAGACTAGTATTCTAATGAATTCCTTACTGTGTAAGTTGGCATTGTTTGAACTACTATACTGAGTCCAAAATTGCAAGAAGAAGCTGAATTGACCCTCAAGTGCAATAATCATAACAGAAACTATTTTTTACTTAGGTATTTTTACTTAGGTACTTACTAGAATTCACTCAGTGATAGTCTTCATGATATTTAAATCATTATAAAAACTTAATAGAGAAGTCATCTTTTATATACTTATACAGGTCAAGCAGTATCCAAAGAGTTTTAGTACTCAATAATAGCAGTACTAAATACTAACGATACTGGAAGTATTTATGATATGGTAAAAGGGAATTAAAATACACTACTTCTGGAACAGTTATTTCAATAGTAACTAAACTAGAAAACTAGTAGTTTTGGTAAAGTTGGTTTTAAAGTGATGAAATATATTTTCCTTGACCATCCTTATCAGATACTACTTTCCTAGAAGCAAGGCTGCTGTTCTTCATTCACAGTCCTCATCTTCTTTCGCAAGACAGCTGGTGTCTTAATGATTGGCCTAGGGTCAGATCCAGTCTTTAGCAACCAGCCAAGAAGATATTTTCCCAGAGCTACTGTAATAGAGTATTTCAAAAAGGAATCGGAATCTGGTGGCCTCTGAGATTGTGTCACTCTGGTCTGGTACCTGTAATATGGGGAAGCACAACTTATTTGGGAAAGCCCTTTGTCCGCAGTTGGCATAGCTATTGACATGATAATAAATTTTCTACCTTTAATAGTTTCACTGCTTTCTTTCCCCTATACCTAGTTTTCTTCCCCTACAGACTGATTTCTTTACATAGGAAAAGGCTATGTGGATTAAGGAGCTATGAAAGGTAATAGAGCAGGGTGGCTCTGGGAAAAGGAAGTACCTTCAGCCAATGACAGGCCTTGGGGTAGAGACTGGCAAGTGAGATTCTTGAGCCAGGCAAGTGGAGTGCTTCTTGCCCTTTTTGTACAGCTCGGCATCGAGATCTAGAAGAAAACACATTGGCCTAGACGCCTGTCAAATGGGACTTCAGAAAAACCAGAGGATCTCCTTTCCTCTGCTCACCAGATCCAGTTCAGCTGCAAGAAATGAAGGTATTATGAAATTGGCACAACGCCGGCACAGAATGATCAGTGTATTGGGGAGGGCAGGGGACTGAGAACCACCGGAAGTGGAGTCATGGGGAGACGACTTGTAAGTTGTGGTTTTTCACACTTTTGTGTTGAAGTCCCAGTCTTGGGGGACTACCCCCAACCACTCTAATTTGTGCTGCTCTGAGGCCTCTTGAGAAGCCTCAGTTCTGGGCCCTTGGTGCAGGGATCCCTGCTATTGGGTTCAGAGCCAGAACCATGACCTTCTAAGGAAGGTGGTAGCTTTAGCACCTGTGTTTTACTGTTCTGTTTGACTTCTTCCCAACACCCTCACCGTTCAACAATTTAGCATCTATGCTGAGGATCTATTAAGACCTCTAAATTTATGATTCCTTATTTTTGTCTCCTAAAACTTCTTGCATTGATTTTTCACTACTCTTCCTACCAGCTCTTTACTTGTAGATTATTATAATAACTTTAACCTTTGGACTTGCATCTTAAGTCTCCCCTACAACTAGAAGCAGCATTGGAACTCCAGAAAAGGAGACTGTAGTGAAACCTAACCTGACACACAGGTAGGTTGACATGCCTTTCAGAAGCAGCCAAAATTCAAAGGCAAAGAAAACTTGATTGGGCACTGTGCAAAAGCTGTAGACCTTCCTGGAAAGCTTTACTCATTTCTGAGAGCAGAGTGCACTGGGCTAGCTAGGGATGTTTCTGAAACATCTGAGGGTGACATCACAGCAGGGAACTCACTCCCAAAGGGAGCATAACTGACCTTTCAGGGGCACAGTTTTTTTGGAGACAAAGGGGCTTCTTCCCCCTACCTTTCTACTGTCCATCATGCTTCAGCCTTACGGGCTTTTTCTCTGGATGGAGCCCCCCTGGCCAGAACCTCTGTCTCCTGGTAAGGTGGGCAAAAACAACACACATGGAGAATAGAAAACCCATGTAGCAGATTCTCCCTTAACCGTGGGGTAACCACTCAGTGGGACCCTCTGTTTTGCCTGCTACCTCTTCACTCTTCACTAGAGTCAAGAACATTACCCTACTACATCTCCAGAAATCTGTCCTGTCTTTTATAATCCCTTCATTTTTCCCATCAAAGAGGTAGCACGCTCTGGGAAGGAAGAATGAAAGAACCTACTCTATTTACCCCGAGTTTGTTCTGTTTCTTCCATACCTTATCTTTGACGCCATCCATCCCCACCTTCTGAGGATAGGGCCAAAAGGACAAAACATGATTTTACTCACTGATGAGCTTCTGTGGATTAGTGTGTGCCCTAAACATTGGTTTAAAAACCCTGCTTGAGATGTGGGGAACTTAAGTCTATTGAAATTTTTATATTCATATAGTGTCATATTTTCTTGACTTTTAATAAACTTCCCTTTATCCTGTAACAAGCCTATAACTTTTTACTTTTTTTTGCCTCATCAATCCAAACTGTATTAAGTTAACTAACCTTCTTTAACTATATCTTGAATCAGCCATTTCAAAGCCCTAAATTTTCTCTAGGCTATATGTTTTCTGCATTTTGCCATCAACTCACTGAAGTACAGTTGTCCCCTGGTATCCATGGGGGATGGCTTCTAGGACCTCTCATGGAAACCCAAATCCAGGGATGTTCAAGTCCCTGATATAAAATGGCATAGTATTTGCATACAGCCTACACACATCCTCCTGTATACTTTATCATCTCTAAATTACTTACAGTACCTAATACCATGTAAGTGCTATGTAAATAGTTGTTATACTGTATTGTTTAGAAAACAATGACGAGATATCCTTGTAAGGCCTGAAATGAAAACCAGGGAAAAAAAGTAAAAAAAAAAAAAAAAAAAAATGACAAGAATAAAAAAGTCTATACATGTTGAGTACAGATGCAGTTTTTTCCACATTTTTGATCCACAGTTGGTTGAATCCACAGATGTGGAACCCACACATAACGGAGGGCTGACTATATAAACTCACTCTAGTATTACTTCCACCATTATCTACCGTCTTATTTCCCAGAGTCTGCTGCAGTCTCTCACTTGGGTCTTTACTCATACTGGTGCCTCTCCCTGAACTGCCTCACTCCTATAAATCCCTTCCCTAGCCCCCATCATCCCCTTTAAATCCAATCCTTAAGAATCCAGGAAAAGGCTCTTTCTGCATCCCCACAAAAATGTAATCCCTCAGTACTGCCAATGACAATTGGGTTTATGGCACTTAATTTGTTGCACCTGCTATTATACTCATTGGTATATTTAACTTTTACTTAGATATTAAGGTCTTTGAGAATCATATCATAGAAAGCAATGAGTAGACACTCATATTTATTGAGATGGTATGGGAATAACTGACTATCAATTTGGAAAAACTATTAGACTTCCATCTTATAAACTCTAGAAAGCTTAAGTATTTAAATATGAAACAAGAATACGGAAAGAAACTTGTCATTTTTGTGGTATCTGACTAGCAATTGCCCTTTGAAGCTTCTCCACCTTCTCACTAAAATGTCAATGGCATTAAAGTGAAGACTCACAGCCACACTGAAAATAGACAGCCAACCAACCAAATGCCAGGAGATGACAGGAAATGAACTAGTTATGAGGCAAAGTTGAACTGAGATTTCATTTTAGGAAGCAAAGATTGCTTAAAAACTAAGGACCTTCACCAGGCAGAAATTAAGCAGTCATTCCTTTATCAACCCTGAAGTTCTACTTTGAAGAGTGTTCCATACCTGGATCAAGTCTCTCCCATTAAAAAAAAAAAAAAAAAACACAAAAACTTCATTTCCCTTGTCGCACTGAAACCTCAAAAGAGTTGTTCATATTAACTGTTTTCATTTCTTCACCTCTCACTCCTTAACCCACACCATTTTAACTTTCTATATTATCACCCCACCAAGAGAGTCCATGTTAAGGATATCAATGACCAGTTCACTAAATCCAGACATTTTTCAGTTCTCATCTTTACCTCTCAGCAGAGTTCAGCACTATTGACTACTTCCCACTTGTTGAAACACTCTTACCTTGGCTTCTGTGACAAGATATTCTTTTATGACAAAATAATCTCCAGGAGCTTATGTTCTGTCATCTTTACATAGTTTTTTTGCCACAGTCTTTTTACCCAGTGTATTAATTTGTTGGGGCAGCCATAAAAAAACAAACAAACAAAAAGAAAGAATAGGTAGCTTAAACAACAGAAATTTATTTCCTCACAGTTCTGCAAGCTAGAAGTCCAAGATCAAGGTATCTGCAGGTTTGGTTTCCTCTGAGGCCTCTCCTTGGCCACCCTCTTGTTGCGTCTTCATATGGTCTTTCCTCTGCATGCATGCCCCTGATGTCCCTCTCTGTGTCCAAATTTCCTCTTATAACAACACCAGCATTGAATTAGGGCCTACCCTAAGGACTTCATTTACCTTAATCACCACTTTAAAGCCCGTATCTCCAAATACAGTCACATTCTGAGGTACAGTGTTCGGGGCTTCAGTGAATGAGGGATATAATTCAGTACACTACACCCAGCCATTCAATGTTGGAGTTCCTTAAAGCTCATTCCCAGGTCCCCTCTTCTCACATGCTGAACTCTCAAGGCTATTTCATTTATAAATATGTGAATCTTCATCTTGTATTTCTAGCTCAGATGTCTCCTCTGAACTCTAAGCCTATATACACAGATGCCTACTTGACATCTCTTCTGGATATTTCAAAGGCACCTCAAATTTACATGCCCCAAATTGATCTCTTCCCATTTTCCCAAAGAAAATAAATATATCTACTCAGTCATATGAGCCCACAATGTAAGAGCTACCTTTGATATTTTCTCATCCCCCATAAATTCAATCCATCATCACAATCCAGCAAAATAACTTCCCAAGTACCTCTTGAATTTGTTTGCTTTTCTCCATCTATACCATCACCTTAGTTTAGGCCACCATTATATTTCACCTGAACAACCATAAGAGCCTTCTAAATATTTCCTTGTATTGACTCTAGCTTTCCTTCAATCTGATTGCCAAACAGTGGCAAGGGTAGTCTTCTGAAAATAAAGACTGATCATGTCATCACTCATCTTGAAACCATCAATGGCTTCTCATTGTTCTTAGGGTAAAGACCAATTCCTTCACATGACTTATTTTCTGCATCCATGGACTGCACGTTCCAGACAATTTGGATGAAAAATATGACATTCTAGTTCTGCCAAGATGTCAAATGAATATGGTGCCTTCTTCCAGAATCAACCCTGGAGGTACTAAAAATAGAAGCATGGAATCTAAGAAGTAACAACACAAACATGAAAAAATCCTGGGGAGATTGAAAGTATTTTGATCTGTTGTGTTGGGGTAGTTGGTAGCTAGTAAGCTGTGGGAGGCTATTCAAGAAGAGCTGTTTTAATCATGCCTCCCCCTAGTTTCCCCTGGATCCATTATTGCCTGCCATCTCCCTGTAGAAATTGGAGGGAAGAGCTAATAGGGGTAAACTCAGGGCAAGATAAGACCTCTTGGGGCCAACAGATGGGGAATGAGAAGGCGGGTTGGGCATGGGCTCCTCTACCCCTTTACCTTTAAATCCCTAGGACTGGTAGATGACCATCTAGGGGATGCTCACACCCAATACTGTTTTTCCACTTGAAAGATCAAAGGTGAAGTTCA